CAACTCTCTCACATTCACTTAACCAAAATCACATTTTCTTTTCTAATCTTAAACCAGTAAGCCCTAAATCCAATATGTCTAACAGATTTATTCAAATTTACAACTATTTAAGTGACGTGCAAGGGGTAGACAAAAAGGGCTAGATTTTTTTTTTTTTTCAAAGATACTGAGGGCAAATGACAAATTTCTTTTAACTAGGTTAGTGAATACAAAGAATCTAACTCAAATTGCTAACCACTTAATTAAATGAACCTCTCATAACTTGAATTAGGGATGAGATTTTTATTTTTATTTTTATAAAAAGTGACAAGATTCTTTATTTATGTTTAAGCAATTGTAACAATCAAGAATTAAGAAATAAATTTTTGGGTAAAATGGCACACGCTGCCCTAATATTATTTTTCAGATCCATCCAACATCCTAATCTTATTTATGGGATATCAAGCACTGTGATGTTATTTTCTTAGTGCTTTGAGCACCTGTTAATGTTATTTTCTAGTTACATCCAACACCTTAATCTTATTTATGATTTAGAGAGTTGGATGGATGCTATAAATAGAGCTGGTAATACAGGCTGGGCCTGCGGGCCCAGCCCCCCAGCCTGCCAAAAAAGGCGGGCTTGGGTTGGCAATATGCCAGCCCGCCAAGGTGCGGGCTATTCCAGCCCGCACCGTTTTGAGCCCGCTCCGCCGCGGGTTGGCAGGCTGGCCCGCTTTTTTTTTAAAAAAAAAATTTCATATAATTCCTAATATAGTTAAAATATTTTGACCCTTAAATTCCACATGAACAATTAAACATTGCCTTTTTCATATGATTGCATAAGTAATTAAACACTTTATATATTTGTGATTCTGTGTGTAGTTATATGAAGATCATCATCCATCTTTTATTTTTCATTTATTTGTTGTGTCACTATAAAAGCCTTTATAAAATTAAATAAACATGTGATACTTATACATTTATACATAAAATATCTACTTAATTAATTTGGATAAGAAAACTAAATTACTTTGAATAAAAAAATTAGTTAAATTAATTATTTATAAAAAAAATATATTAGTTTTTAAAAATATATTCTTAAATTATAAATTAATCTTCACTTTATTTTATCATAACTCACTACTCAAATTCAAGATTCGAAGCCTAATTTTAACATTTCAAATTAAGCTCAACCTATATTAATAATAATAGTTTTTATTTTTAAGAAAAAGAATATATAGGCGGCCTCGGGCTGGCAGGTGCGGGCTACTTCAGCCCGCACCGCTGCGGGCTGGCCCGTATCCATACCGCCAGCCCGTATTACCACCTCTAGCTATAAATAAGATTAAAGTGCTGGAAGTATCAGAAAAATAATATTAGAATACTAGATACATTATAACTAAAACTAGGGTGGTAGATATACCAAAAAAATAATATAACCATACTGACTACTATGATTTTACCTTAAATTTTTCTACAAGAAACTATTCTTTAGGATGTGTTTGGCTCAAAAGAGAGGAGGAGATAAGAGAGATTTTTATATTATTTTATTTGGATTAATGAGGAGAGAGGGGGGAGGGATTTTTATGATTTGACATGTAATTTGATAAGAGTGTAACAATTATAATCTCTTACACAAAAGATATAAGATCAAAAGGGTAATATGAAGATATTAAAAACTAATTATAAGCATATTAGTCAAAACAAACTAAAACAGTATTCTCCCCCCCCCACCCCCAATCCTCCAAATTTGGGAGGAGAGGGTTATGAGGTGAGAAGAGGAAAAATCTTAAAATATTTTTCCTCCCTTCCTAAAAATTTTAGCAACTCAAATAAAAGAAGAGGAGCAAAATCCTCATACCAAACAACCCTTAAGTTTCAATGGTCATGGGCCACGTGGCGCAGGTGGTGTTAAACGAATCTCACATCTTCTAATTAAGGCCGTGGCCCTGCGAAGACCACGCACCTCGCAGGGTACTGTACGACCCTTCCCTTCCGTGACTGGACACATTTATTGTTGATTTTCATCGAACATTTACTGGATTGGTCCACCATAATAGTCTTTTAATTATTATCAACGTTTTTTATTAAATGATGATGGAAGAAGCCCAATTAAATTTTTTGTCAAAAATGTCAAACTTAGTACCGTTTTACCAAAATAAAAAAAGTTTGATTGAAGTGTTTCCAAAAGTATACAACTAGGTCTTGTTTCTTGTTGTTAGGAGTGATTTTATGAAGAGTCCAGATAATGCATGAGAATTGGATTCCTCTTTTTCTTTTTTTTTTCTTTTTTTAAATTTTTAGGCAATATAATTCATGGAGTAAAATGAATTTCCCACTTTTTTTTATAGAAATTTCATTAAGCCTCTGAAGAAATTTGAAGTTAATTTAGTTTATAAACCATGTTCTAAATCCGGATGTTATTTGGGATTTTTTTTTTTCAAAAAAAAAAGTAATGTATTGTTGAAGTTTTTCGATTGGTTAAAATAGTTTTAGAACGATAACCAGTGAATTTTCTTCTAATTTCAAAAATTGTTTAAAATCACCTCTCATATATTTTAATTTGCACCATTAGATATTGGTTAAAATAATTTTAAAACGATAAGCAGTGAATTTTCGCGTAACTGAAATTCAAAATTTTAAAAAAGTATTATTGATGTGTTGAAATTTCTATAAATAAAAAAATAAATCTAAATTATTCATTATGTACATGTGTTTATTGTTGCCTTTTTTTTTTGGCTAGACACTAATGTTCTCCTATTAGAAACAATTATATTCGAGATACTGTGATTGTGAGTACCTAAACCAACAAAAATTCTAATATTAATTCATCGAGAGATTAAGTGTTTCTACTAAACCCAATTATTGGCTTTTTAGTTGATTGCCGTCTTCCCTCAAACTATGGGCTCTCTTTAGTCCAAGTCTCCTTCTTATCCTAAACTTTCGATTATTCCTAAAAGTTTTGCAAAGTATTATATAAATGTGTGTGTGTGTGTTGTTATACAATTTTATAATTTTTCTTATTTTTCTTTCAAATTCATAGCCAATTCTTATTTGTAATTTTCAGGCACCCCATATTTATAATTTTTCATCTCTACTAACATTTAAATTATAAGAATTTTAATGGAGGGCAACATTATACTGCTTTAATTTCAGGAGTTCATGCATGACATCACACCATTCGACTTTAGAGTGACCAAGACACCTAAAATAATATTTCAAGAGCAAGCTAGCATCTCATCTCTACAATTAACTGCTCACGAATCATACTGTAAATTTTAATTCTTTAATATAATCATTTTTATAAATGATTAAATTTTAATATTTAAAAAATATTGATATTTTATTATGTATCTAATTATTTAAATGCTTAAATTTCAAAATATAAAAAATGATTACATTAAAAAAATTAAAATTTAGAGTATGATTTGTCAACATTTAATTGCAAAGTACTATTTACATTTATTGAGTCATCATTTCTATTAAACGAAACTAACAGTTTTAACTTTTGTAGACTAAAAATACACTTTATAAATTTAGGGACTAAATTGAAACTCGAAGTAAAATTAAAGAACCAAATGGTACATATCATCAATCAATTATATTCTTGAAAACTTGTAATACCCGGTTCGTTTTAAAAACGGGTCGGGCATAACATTAAGACATCCGAATATATTTAATTGATGAGATTTGAATAATATTTTGATTGGGATTTATGTATATTGAATTAAATGAGGAGTATTATTATTAAATGGGATTTCAATTTGAGGGTCAAATGAATTAATTAATAATTAATTTTGAGTTTGAATGATATCTTAATTGGGATTTGAATATATTGAATTAAATAGAAAACATCATAATTAAATAGTACATTAATTGGGGGCTTAAATAGAGAAATAAATAAATAATTTTAAATTTTTATATGGTCTTCTTAATTTTCAAATTTCTAATTCAAATCTCATTCGAATGACTAAAAAAATTACACTTCTATAAAAAGTGAATATAATTTTGAGTTGCCTTAGATAATACAATTTATTATCATTTAAAATTTAATCAAATATTTTAATCCGTGCATCACACGGGGAAGAAATCTCTAGCTTTAGTCTAAATGTTGATTTGTTAGTTTTTTTTAAAAATATTGATAGTTTGAGGGAAAAAACGTAAATTTGATAAACAAAATGGCTTTAAGTCTTTCACTTAAAATTAAAATAAACTTTTTATTACCTTAAGTATTTCCTCTTTAATTATTATCAATAACCACCGAAGTTTGTGGCGTGGTTCCGTAATTGCAGGTTACTTTTTAATTTGTTTCCTTTTGCAAGCAAGCAGGCAACTTCTTGCTGTTTGCATTTGATATTTAAAAGAAAAGGTACCAAAAAAATAATGAAATAACTAATTACCAGAGGTTAGGTCATCTACTATCATAAATGCTACTTATAACACAACACATTGAATATAAGTTTAAAAAATACACACACAAATAAAACAGATTGGTTGCCAACTGTTTCATCCATTTTGTTCTTTAGCGTAATAAAAATGTCCTTAGTTATATGCCATAAAATCAAAACCTCAACCCACTTATCTTACAAAAGTTTTAAAATAAATAAATAAATACATAAAACTAAAGGGAGGGTTTGATTTTTGGCTTTCAACACTGAGAATAGCAGCAAGTGATTTTAGTGCTGCTAAGGGTGTTAAAATTTTGACCATTCAAATGTAATTTCAACAATTCAGATTTAACTTTTTATTTTTATTTGTTCAAAAAAAAATATTTTGATATCTACAGGATCCAAAATAAAAATGATTTTTCAATTGTCAACTTGTCAAAAAAAATAAATTTCTATGTTTAAAAATTATTAATTGAACATTTTAAACGCCCACCAATAACGTGATATTTAAATAGTGCAAATCTCAAAGTAACTATAAACGCCATCATTATGATAAGCAACTAAACTAATTCTAAGAATAGCATGCCACCATGCACGTGCATATCATCTGTCTAACATATTTTAATGCAAATAGAAAAATATAAAATTATGGATGTGAAAATCTTATTTCTTTCACAAATTACAAGCTTCTTCAAATAAACATGTATATATCTTGATAAATAAAGTCATCATAACTAACAACGACATAAAAAAATACACAAATTAATTAAACTTCCACCACTGCATGTAGCAGGCCTAGCTTGGGCCTAATTAACAAGCCATTAATTAATTATTACCTTATCATTCTCTAATTATCTTCTCTTGTTCTTGCTTCCCACCACTAACAAGAAGTAAAACAAAATCCTGAACAAGAAGCCCCAAGCCACAGTGACCCAAAAGCAATTCCACTTGCTCAAATCCGTCACGCCGTTCTGTTGCAGTAAGTCTGAACCGGTGGTCAAGCATGTCGTGCTCGTTATGTTCACACCTAACGTATCGCTCATACTCTTGAGTAACTTCACCTTCATGATCTCCGGCACCGACCCTAATGGCGTATTATCGAAGATCTGAACCCCCCTCACGAAGCACTTCAACGGGTCGCCGAATTCGTTCTGAAGAACCGCTTCATATGGGTATTTCACCAGAGATATGTAATGGAACCATATCCAGTACGCCGGAATACGATCTCGGTTTATGAAGAAGCCACTGAAGAGCAAGAAGTAGGCTAATATGGCGACGACTATTGTGTAGCCCAACATCACATGCGGGACCAGGCCGGAGAGGAAGGTGACGAAGGAGTTTCCAGCCCAGAAGGAGGCCAGGATGATGGCGAAGTAGAAGCCGAAGCCGGAGAAACCTCCGTCGAGGCCAACTGCCCAGAAGGTGGTGATCGCGAAGGCTAAAGAGAGGAAGATCAATGGAGGGAAGGCGACAAGAGCGTGAGAGATGAGGTAGGATGATCGCCGGTAAGCGTTGTGGGAGGTTTCTCTCATGAAGATGTGTCGCTCTTGAAGGAACACAGGAAGTGCGTCGGCGGTGGTATAGAAGGTTGTGGACATGGCGAATGCGAAGAAGCCCAGTCTTTCTTGAACTCCTTTGGGGGAGTTATCTAAATGCCAGAACACGGTGGCGAGGAGGAATCCGGTCACCATAACGGTGCCGAGTCGCATTGCCAACAGCTCAGGCATCCGGCGAGAATTGGTGAAGGATCGTTTTGACAGAGTCGCCAGTTCGATCCAAAATGGGTTCGCATATGTTGGAACCATCCATGAAGATGATGAGCTTGTGCTTGTGTTCGTGTTCGTCGCGCCTGAAACTAATTTCCCTTTCGAAATGCTCGCACTGATGGCCTCTTTCAGAGATAAACTCTGTCCAGGACTGAGATTAGAGCTTGAATTTTCAATATGCTTCTTGCTCTGCCATGATTTGTTGAACTCAACTAAGCTTTTGGTACCACCTGGTGAGCCTTCGAGTTCGCGAATCAGATCAAGCGCAAACTCGGTCCGGTTCTCATTTTCTGGTATCGGGTGGCCGAACTCGGCGAAGAAAGTAGGGAGCTGCGTCGGAGAGCCACTGTAGACTGTTTTCCCGTGCGACAGGAAGATCATTCTATCGAGGAGTCCGAGGATTCTGTAACTGGGTTGATGTATGGACATGATCACGATGCTTCCGGTTTGAGCGATTCTCTGAAGTACCTTCACCACCATGAACGCGCTGGTGGAGTCCAGTCCAGAGGTAGGCTCGTCGAGGAAGAGGACAATGGGGTCGTGGATTATGTCAATGCCGATGGACACGCGCCGGCGTTCGCCTCCAGAGACCCCACGGTGGCCCTCATCTCCGATGACAGTATTTTCGGCGTTGCGGAGGCCGAGCTGGTCGATCAGAGCTTGGACTCGCATCTTCTTCTTGGATTTGGAAAGGGTTCGAGGTAATCGAAATTCCGCCGCGAACATGAGAGTCTCTTCGACAGTGAGCATTGGGAATAGCAGATCATCTTGCATTACATAAGCTGAAATCGCTTTCAGAAGCCGCGAGTTCATGGCCTCGCCGTTTAGAGCCACTGTTCCTTTTAAGCTTCCCTTAGCTATACGGTTGGCCAAAGCGTCAATGAGAGTAGACTTGCCGGAACCACTAGCGCCCATCACGGCCATGATCTCACCGTCCCGGGCCTCGCCGGAGATGTCATCCAGAAGGGTCTTTGTTCTCGAGAAGAAGCTCTCTTCACCGATCGTATCATCAGCGGCGGCAGCACCAAGACGATTTCTTCCCCGCGAACACAACGCCGACAAGTTCATTTTCCGTTGAACCTTGACGTTGTAAGTTAGATTACTAAAAGACAGCACGAAAGGCAAAGAACGAGGCCCAAGTCCGGCATGGCCATCTCCGACGTCAAGGGCATGATGCAGCGGCGTCTCGCTGCCGTCTCCGGTGGCTTCCTTGCGTACATCTCCGACATGCTTGAGAAGTTGACCCAGCGTGGGAGACTGATGATGATCAGTGGGAAGACTGGGAAAACTGTTAAGCTCGATGGAGCTGAGATACGACGCCGTATCTGAGCTCTCAGGCTCTGCAACTATGCGAGAAGACATGCTCAGAGAGAAAGAGAGATCAGAGCCAAGGCCAATGGAAGAGAGGAGAGAAGGGGAAGGAGAGAGAAGTACTGAAAATGTAGGTGGAGGAGTTTAATGGGGATTGGGTTGGAAGAGATCTGGTGTGTGCATTTATATAAATATGAATGGAGAAGGTTTGAGAAAGAAGGGGGTGCGCCGTGTGGAAGAAGGGAGTGAGAGAGAAAAAATGGGTTTTGACTGGTAATGTAGTTGAGGTAGCTGTAAGAGAGGTCACCCACAGCTCCTAATTGTGCACTTCTTTGTCTGTTACCACTCCCTCTTTCTCTCTCTTAAAGTCTTAAATGGAGACTGTGGACGGCTTTTTGTTGCTGTAGCATTTATGGTAAGTAGATAACGAGTCATCAAGTAATTTTCTCTCTCTGTTTTTTTCAAACCAATGTTTTTTTCCCCTCTATAACCTTGAACCATAGTGTTGGTAGCTTTTTTTTTTCCTTAAATATATATATATATATATATATTAAACCACATGTAAGTTATTACAAAATGCTTATCGGCCTTTAAAATATAAATATCAAATAACTAATTCACACAATTTTAAAAATTATTTAAAAATAATAAATATGTAAAACAATATAGTTTATTTTTCTAAAACATCCTTATTTACAAAGAGGGTGAGTGGGAGAGAGATGCGTGAAAAAAAAAGGTAAGACGGAGTGAAAAAAAAAGATGAGAGAAACCTGTAATTAATTAGGAATAAAAAGGGGAAAAAAATCTAATGTTCATAAAATCAAACCCTTTTAAAGATTTAATGATTATATATTGAACCCGAGAGTATAAAATAAAAAAGAGGTTTTTAAACAAAATGATGAAATAAAATTTATTTATCACCACCATTTACAGGTGTTCAATTTGTCTCGTTCCGATCCCGGTGAGTTCAGGATTGGATGAGACGGGACAAAAAAAAATTCTAGACGGGACAGGACACTAACCGAGACAGGATGAGATGCGGGATGGGATCATCTTGTCCCATTTGGGGTTTTTTTCTTTTAAAAATTATTTATTAATAATAATTATTACATTTTTTAATGTACTTATTAATAATAACAATTATTTTTATAGTGATTTTAGCTCCTAAGTTGTAGTATTATCTCAACAAAATTTTCTTTCTTAATAAAATAATTCATAAAGTTATTATTTAGTGTTTATTTTACGGTACTTTTTCTTTATAGTATTGTTTTTATGCCTTTTTTATGCTATATAATTGAGCTTTCTGTATAATATTTTTATCTTTAAAAGCCCAATAAAAAATAAGCATTATAACATAAAAAATTTATATAAAAAAGGGATAATTAATATATAAGTCCTTATAGTTTCAACTGGTTTTTAATCAGATCCCTATAATTTTTTTTCTTTTTATCAGGTCCTTATACTTTCATATATTTTTAATCAAGTCCTTATAATTTTTTTTCTTTTTATCAGGTCCTTATTGTTTTACTTTGTTTTTAATTAGGTCCTTGTAGTTTTTATTCTTTATTTACAAATAATAACATTTTAAAAATAATAAATTATTGTAACAATCTTATGTTAATATTCTTTTAAATTTTTAGTTAAACAAATATATTATTTATTTTCAATTCAAATTTTTATAATTATAAAATTCAAATTATAATAATAAATTTTTCTAAAATTAAAATATGATTATAAATAATTTATACTTAAGTATAATTATTATTCTGATTATTAATTAATTACTAAATGATTATATTAATTAGTTTGTCCAATTATATAATTATTAATTTAAAATGAAATTAATTTTAAAGAATAAAGTTAATAAATAATTTTTCAAAAACTACAAAGCACCTAATTAAAAAATAAGTGAAACTATAAGGACCTGATAAAAAGAAAAAAAAATAGAAGGACCTAATTAAAAACACACGAAAGTAAAAGGATCTGATAAAAAGAAAAAATTTTATAAGGACCCAATTAAAAATCAGATGAAACTATAAGGACCTGGAGATTAATTATCCCTATAAAAAATTATAGGTTTTTTTTTTTTGAAAAAAAAGGGGATGCAGGACAGGACGGGACACAGGACAAAAACCTTGTCTCGTCCCTGTTGATCAGGACAGGACCGGGATGGGCTTGTCCTGGTCCCGTCCTATGAATACCTTTATCACCATGATAAAAAATTACTCCTTCAGTCCTTAATATATGACATAATTATTAGGTTGGTCTTGATTCTATATATAAGATCTATTTCTTATATTTATCAGTTTTTTCTTAACTATCTCCACTGATATTCCTTTACTCATAATCAAGTAGGAGATAAAGAGACGATATTAAAGCAGATGATTATGGTGTTTAAAAAAAATATCATATTTTTATAACCAACTAACTTATCTTATTTTTTTTAATATAATCAAATTAGTTAAATAAGTTTTATATTAAGTACATGGGAGTATATTGTATATCTACAATCAGCTCATTGCATCTATATATTATTTATAATACAGCTAAGTGCGGAGTAAAAATCACATTATTAGCTAGCTACTAATATTATTTTCTGAAAAAAATTTAATAAATATGGGTATATGGACCAATTCTTATAATTGAGAAAACTGTAGGCATTCATTAAAAAAACTGTAATAATTTAATTAAAAGTCACCGAAAAAATAAACTATCATAACCAACAGGGTTGATTTTTCTTTTTTGTTTTTTAATGCTAAAAGGGTGCTGGTAGCTTAACTGCCAGTAACATCATCAGGAGTTTAATTAATAGTCTTACATTTGAACTTTGGTATTTGCATCCGATTTTATCCAGTTTAGTTTTGATTAGTTAAATTTTATTGTGATTTTTGAATATTTGGAAATGGGCTTAAAATTGTTTTGGCATGTATAAATTTTCCACTTAATGCATGTTGGTGCAGTAAATTTATGAGAAAAATGACGTCTATCCATAAGAATTATAGAAAAATAATACTGTATCACTCGTACGTCTCAACATGATCTTTCATAAGATTTGTTGGCATCATTCTGGAATGGTACATTTGTTACGCATATGAGAATTAGATTCGGTCAAAAAAAAAAAAACTCAATGAGAGCCCTATTATCTACTCAAACTGGTAGGGAGTTGTCCAGATTAATCAGTAGTCTCATGTTCAAGTCCAGGCTCCAGAGCACACAGCTATATTAAGAAGGTGTTTGGGTAACTCAAAAACACTTTTCAGAAGCTATTTTTTATAAATCGAGACAAACTTTTCTATATATTTATTTTATATACTGTAAAAATACTTTTAAAACTATTATTTTATTTTTATCCAAACACCCTTAAACTTAATGAGAGAGCTGCCGTTCAAAATGAAGGTTACAAAACTCGATCCAAATTACTTGTTTAGATAACTGATAATAGGATCCATAAAAAAAATGCTAGATACCGGGTGGCCCAAGGGGTTATCAACAAAAAATGAGAGCCCTACCATGTATATTACTATCTTTGATTTTAAATACAAAAATTAAATAATTAATTTTCAAAAATTTAAATTAACTAAATTAATTATTTATAAACAAATATGTGTTGATCTTTCTATCTTTATTAACTGTATTGAATACAATTTTAGTTAGAAATCATTTTAATATTTGCAAATAATAAGAAGAGCTTTAAAAAAATTGATATTTACAACAAAATAAATTTTCTTACTAACTCTAGTATTTAGAATAGGAGTGCGTAACTTAAATTGTCGTACTCATACCAAAGAAAAAAGTAATTCTTTTCAATATACAGAATTTTCGTTAACAAAACAAAAACTTATATATCGTAATCTGTAAAAAGTTCTTTTTATACTATTAAACTTATTAGGGGATCCCCCCCCCCCCAAAACGAATAAAGTTAGTACAGGTAAATTAATTACACTTCATATAAGTTTTTTTTTATCGGCTATTAAGTAAACTATTCTTTATTAATGGAGAAGAAAATGTTTACTATATTATGGAAAAATTAATACATTCAAAAGAAACTTTATAAAGTTAAAAACTTAGAGTTTAGTGTAATTCAACGAGTAAATTAAAAGTATGCTTTTACTTTATTCATTATATGAGAGGGAAAATCATTACTTTAACAAAGCATTTTTAAAAAAAGATCACTGATATATATAACTTATTCTAAGATTCTTTTGACGAAATCCATCCTTAATTAGTTTACAAGTCTTAATCGCAATATTAAATGAATTATTAATTTATATTGACATTGTTTCCTCCGATACATACACGTATATATAAGCTTTCAACCATAAAGAGATTATTAAGTACTTGATTGCTTTTCATATTTATTGTTATCACTTTTTTTCCACTAAATTTTTGTATATATAAAAATCAGTATGTGAAGTTCAATCCCACGTATCTAAATCCAAAGCAAACATCAAAAGAATGATGGACATGTCAAAATAAATGATCTCATGATTTTAAACATGCTTATCTTCTCTGGTCAAAAAAAAAACATGCTTATCTTATGTGTGTACTAAAACAGAGGCGACATAGCATTTACAATAGTTGGGTGTTGGTACAATCACAATAAAATCAAGAGTTGACAAATCTAAATGCTGTCAACACCCACCAGATTTAATAAATACTTAGAAAAATTAATATTTTGGTCCTTCAACTTTTAATTTAGTTATGGCTCAATCCCTCAATTATAATTTTGTATAACTAAGACCCTGAACTTTTAACTTAGCTAAAATCTGGTTTGTAAATTTTGTTTCCTATTTAAGAAATGAACCTTTTTTACACCTATTCATCCTATATGGCAGAAGAGTTTGCTCACATGACTTCCAAGTAAGCTCTACATGGCTGGAAGGTAGTTTGAAAGGCAAATCCGCACAAGCAACCTGTGAAGAAACTACTACACCCGCTCTTAATTATAAGATCTCATTTGTAGTCTACAAACAAGGTTTTATAAATAGGACCGGAGAGAGTATGTGGCAAAAAAATTGCTTAAAGAACCAAAAGATTAATTATCCCTTGATATTTTCTCTTATCCCTGTTATTATAAGTTATTTCCAATTCTAATAAGTTTTGACGCATCAATAAAAACAGTCTTTTTAACAAAATATCAATAAAAACAGTAAAAAAAAATTGCATTATTTTTAATAGAATTCAACGGATTTTCAATATTACCTTCATTAATCATGCTAA